TCACTAGATTGTTGTGAAGAAGATTGGTTGTTGAAATGCATGGGCTTTAATCCTCAGTTTGAACAGAATCCAGGGTATAGTCCCTGTCCTGGAGTACAGCTTTGTCTAGCTTTGCCTCATTAGACCTGGAATTCATTCCAACTACAATAAAAGCTTTGTTATCCAGCATGAGTAGGGTAAGGGGGGTGCCAGTTATCTAAAAATTCCGGTTATCTGAGCCCGCCCTGCCCCACACAGATCCCTTTCCCTTCCCCCTGCCCCTTCCCCTGCAGACTTTCCTGTCTGGGGGGGGGGCGCATGCATGCATGCACGCACTTCAGACCCCACCAAATTTTTTTTCTCTCTCCGCATACGCGGATATCAACTGGAAGGGCTCCTGGCAACTCCTCTATTGGCATCGTCACTAATGTAAATAATAGAAATACTTGATGCGCATACTGGATAGACTCAGCAAAGATTCCTGTTGCTAAAGTGAGGATTTGTTTCGGGATATTAGAAATTCCGGTTAATAGAGTATTCCGGTTAGTAAAATGCCGGTTAACACAGCTTTTACTGTATATGGTTCTCTGCTCTTATTTCTTATTCTTTAGACTCCCCACATAACTCAACACCCTCCCACCTCAAATAAAGCCAGGAGCATTCTGATTTGCAGTTTAACTTTGATTGCACCCAACTGTAACATGCACCTAAAAACAGGTGCACACTTTCTGTCCATCATTTCTCTTTACTTGAAGGAAAATATAGTGCAAATCTTTTTAAAATAAAACCAAACATCCTGCATACAGTACCACTAACTTCTGGCTCACTCTTCCTTCTGGGCATCCCTTGCTTAGGATCTTGTGGTAGTTCTTTTCATTTTCTACCACTGAAAACAGCTGAGTGCTCCCTATTGCAAGGTTTCTCCTCTTTCCGTTTCCCCATTCTAATAATTACTGTAGCCTTTGCTCCAAATGCTTGCCATAGGCCTCTTCAGTTGCCTGTTAAGTTTTAATATCTTATTTTTGTCTGGGATGAAGAGTCTTGTCACACTGAAAGGTTTATGTGATGCAACAACTTTATAGTGAGAATGGTGTGATAATTTAATAATATTAACCAGAATTTTAAGTTGAACACATTCTCCAAATTGCCAAACCACAGTAAAAGTGGATAACTGCCCCACAACCTTTGTAACGCTAATTTTGCATGGCATCAGTTCTACACATATTAAATCAGTATGTCAAACACCGTGCTTTAAATGTATCCACTAATAACCTCACAACAATGAATAGGGGTCGTGGACACAAATTAAGCTGGAACATTATTCGAAGAGAAGTGATAGAAGAGGAGTACCATCAATTACAGCATTTAAAAGTTGACCAAAAATAATATATGCAAGCAGATGTAACAGATCTCTTCTTTTCCTAATATTCTAGGATATTGTCACAGGTTGGTTGGATGAATCTCACCTGAGTTCCACCTCCTGCCTTACCCAAGTTTAATCAGCTGCAGCCAATTGTCAGATTGCAGTAGAAAGGAGACTTAAGGGGGCTTTAGAAAGGAATGTTGTTTCCTGTGATTGGGTAACAGGCGAGAAGATTGCTATGGAAGTTAGACAGGGGTTGAGAGTCTACACTGTAAAGTGCCATACTTGGTGGGTAGCCTGGGACAAGCAAATATCTTTTTATATTTCTTTGGAACTGTTTTTCATTACCATGCCAAGTTAAGAGAAGCTAAGAGTCTATTGCCTGTCAAGAGCCTTCTTTGAAGGGAAAGTAGCTCAGCAGTATAAAACCTGATAAAGTCTCAGATACACTGATGCAGCACAGATTGTACCACTGAAGGCTACACTGGATAAATGCACATTAGCAGAATAGTTTTATTTCTACTGAAATGGTAACTGTGAAATGACAATGGGCATAGGATTCTGATCACGTTAATGGTATAACCCAACTTACAGTGCCTTAACTTAGTAACCTAAATTCTTATTTTTGTAGAACAAGATGAGTTTTTGGATAGAGGTAGAACTGACAAGCTAATGACAGATATGGTTGACCTTCAGACACATCTGAAAGCATCAGAACTAGAAAAGCAGCAACTTAAGGTGAGTGTTGCATGTCTGCCATTTGGTTCACTTATGACCATACAAAGTTAGGTATAGGTTGAAGGTAGAATCCTTCTTAAGTTCAGTTATTATGTCTCAAAATATTACTTTGAAACTCTCTAGAAATCTCTGAAGAGACTCTTGTGAATTTGTGCCTGTAGTGTAAGAGAGGGAGTTTGGCATTGTCCAGTATGCTGAGCAGCTGAACTGTTCTACCATCAAGTTGCTCACACTTGCTTCTTTCCTGGATAATTTGGTAGCCAGTAACTGCCATTCTTTGGCTCCTTCCTTTCTCCCCATATGACACAGATGTAATATAGCCAAAGATTTATCCATCCTGTATGTTAGATTTACATACCTTCCAAATGACTAGGCCAGGGGTGGGCAAAGTATGGCCCGTAGACTGCATGTGGCCCACCAGCTGACTGGATCTGGCCCACAGGCAGGCACCTACCAATTAAGTGTATCCAGCCCTGCCTGCGGCTACCCCTGATGTGCTCTTCCTGGGGCTGAGTCCCACCCAGGGCAGAGCATGCTGTGCTCCCAGCCTCCTTTGCCAGCAGGCACAGCTTCTGAGCAGGGCTCCTGCTGCTGCTACTGCCCAGGGACCTGCTGGGCCCCCCCAGCCTCCAGAAGCTCCTCATCCAGTCCCTGCTGTAGCGCTCAGAACAGCAGGTAGGAAGGGGAAGCTGCAGCGCTGAGGGGAGCAGGGTGGGCTCTGCCTACAGCTCACTCTGGTCCTGCTTGTGCCAGGCAGGGGAGTGTGTGCTGAGGGAGGGGTGAGGGGGTGTGAAGGAGCTCAGCTCCTCACAAAGCCCTGACCAGCAGGCAAGGACAGACAGGAGCGGGGGAGCAGAAGCAGGAGCCAGGGTGCACTTGGTGCAGCTCTGCCAGGAAGGCAGATGAGAGAAAAGCAACAGCAGCAGAAGCCAGTGGAGGCTCGTCTGTAGCCTCTCCAGGCAGGCGTAGGACCGAGACTAGGAGCGCTGGTGATGCCAGGTGTGACTCCCTGCCCCCGCACCCTTCTCATAGGGGCTTCTGTTGCTGCAGCCGGCAGCAGCTGCTTTCCTGCCCTTTGCAGCACGCTGAGCCAGGCAAAGGCAGCACTGATCTCCCTCCCTCCCTCCCCTGCCTGTGGAGGGGCTGGGCTCAGCCATATTGTGAAGAACAGGCAGGGGGGAAGCCCCCACACATGCACACCCAACCCACCCACACCCCACCCCCTCTATACCCACACAAATACCCAACACTGCCCCACACACCCCAACCACACACACACCCACATTGACCCCCACCATACCCACACCCCACATACATACAAACCCCACCATACCCACAAACACACTCTACACCTCAACCACACACACATCCACACTTACACCCACCCCTACACCTCCGCATGCATGCACCCGCACCCTACCCTCATCAAATCCACGCACACATACAACAGTCCCACACTAACACTGAAACAGTCATTTGCCCCATACCCCATGTATACATGCCAAACACACCAGTCCCACACACCCCACACCTCAACCATACACGCCCCACACGGACACATACACCCCTTCTGCACATCCACCCCCTATCAACCATATGCTCCCTCAGCCATGCCACACCCCCATTATACAAGCAAACCCCTACCCCTACTAAAAGTACTTCCTGGATTAGGGGAGAGACTCGCAGTGGCAAAGGTCAGGGGCTAGGGGGTGGGGCACTTGTCAAGGGTTGGGGCTACACTCACAGCCCTTAATACCTCACCAAAACTCATTAAGCAGCCCTCCAGTCAAAATAATTGCCTGCCCCCTGGACCAGGCTATCAAGGAAACCAAATGAGAGAGGAAATTTGCCATGCTTTCCATAACTAAGTGAAAATGTAGAATAGTATTGTTGCATTACTTCAATATAGTTGTTTGCATCCCTTGCCGGTGGAAGTAATAGGTACCTGTGTGATAGTCAGTGTCCAGTATGAAAAGGGATGCTTGTGCACGTTTAAATCTAGCCCCTAAAGGAGAAAGAAATTCAGTAATTGTTCTTATGCACTCTCACACAGAAGCATGCATCGATTTAAACTCTTCAAAGTAGGTAATACAGATTTTTTTTTTAATTAGGAAGAAATCAAGAAGTTGAGAAAAGAATTGGAAAACTTCGATCCTTCCTTCTTTGAAGAAATTGAGGATCTGAAATATAACTACAATGAAGAAGTGAAAAAAAACATCATCTTAGAGGAGAGATTAAAGGGGCTTTCTGAACAGTTTGGAGTTAAAGTGGATATCCCCGCTAGTGTTTCTATTGATTAATTTGCAGTTAATTAGTGGAAGCATCAATATGAAAGCTTGCGTATCACTCAATATTTAGACTTGTTTTCACAAGTTGTTAGGACCAATGATTTGATGCCAGTAAAGCTTGTTATTTTTGAAAGCTTATGTCATCAGTTCATATTTAGTGCTTATATTATATATAGCTGAGGTTTAGCTTTTACACTTATCTTCCCCACTCATTTTGCCTTGTATGCTTTAGTTCAGAAGCGCCACTGTAGTGCTGTGTTGAATTATCAGGAGAGAGAAAAGGATTTCATCATGCTTGGAAGAGATATGTTGTTGGACTAGAACTATTCCTACTACTTCTACTCTTTCATGCCTCCAGTGCAAGTAGTAAATAACGTATTCCTACTGTCTAACACTAGTAGGTAATTCAGGAATTGACAGGTGGTCCTTTTGATGTTCGAGCCACTCGTTATTTCCCACCTCCACTTAGGAAATTCAAGAATGAAGAGGTTAAATCAGCATGCCAGTAAATATTTTTATATGTAGATGTACAGGTAACTTATCTGAAAGTTTTCAGTATTTTTGTAGATCTTTATTGGTGTATATATCTTTACAATACAGCTGTAGACAGACCAAGGGAATGAGAATAAACAGCAATTTAAATAGTCTTTATTTTTATGTGTTACGTTTTAAAACGTTACTTTACATGCAGCTGTTGATAAGTGTTTTCTAAATTCGTTTAGGACTTAAAGCAGCTATTCTAAAACCAATTCTCATCTCCTTTGAATAACTAAGCATTTTTAAAATTATTAGTACTGGTGGTTTTTACATGCTATTAATAAACAAAAGTTTTTGCTTCAACAAAATAGAAATACTCGTAACTTAACAAATTACACTACCTGGTTTTCAAGCTGTAGAATAATGCTGCAGCTTCTAGATAAAAAAATTAGTGCTGCCTCACATGAACAGAACAAAAAAAGTTTCAGGGCCAGGTTATTGTCCTGCTTTAAATCCATCTTCACTGATAATACTGCTCAATTCTTTCTAAGCCTCAGGTCTAAACTTGACAGTATCCCATTATTGGGATGTGGAATATAAAATAAACATAGAGATACCTTTACAGTTCACTGAGTTTAAGCCATCATTACATTCTTTCATTTGCTATAAAAGCTGCTTGGGGTGGCTAACGCTGTATTATTCCTAAGCCCAACAGTTAAAAAAAGGTAGACTCAATATTTAAGGATCTTTCAAAACAAAGTTAAAGGAGCTTATATTCTAGAAGCTACAACTGTGATATCTACACTAGTGCTCTTTTGCTACACCGAACTGGTCACTTATGTCCAACAACACTAGTTTTGTAGATGGAAAACTACCATCAAAATTATTTGCAAAAGTTTATTTTTTATTCTGTAGGCAAGGTGGAAGGAATATACAGCAGTACCTAGGCAACCAAGTTAGATTTATTTTCTTAGAAATCAAATTTTATATCTTTGAGTCTACTGAATCTTTGGCCATCCAGCTTTGAAAAATGGTGAAACAAACTCTGTGATTCAAAGTCATAGTCATATTTAGTCCAACTGACAACAACTGGCTGAGAATTCAGATGCGTCTCTGCAATTGGCCAGCGCAAACCAAGATGATGACGATGGAGCTAAGGAAAGAGAAAGAAGAAGTCAGTGTAAAAGTTCACCACGTAGACCACCTGTAACAAGCATCTTTCGTCAGTGTCTTGACAAAGTTGACCAGCAATTCTGGCTTACTACTACTGGGCTATCCAACTTCAAAGTGGCCAGAAGCCACACCAGGGCAAACCTCAGGCCCCAGATAGCAGATGCTCCTCATCCCCCACTGCCCTGCCTGGATATCCCACCCCCACTGCAGCACCATGCACCTGTGCAGGTGCACCCCTCCCCACACCACATGGCCCTGGCTTTACCCTCCTCTCCCCAACCCCACTGCCCTGCACCCCAAGGTGAGGGGAGGCAGTGGAAGCTGAAGGAAGGAGGGGAAGCCCAGATACTTCAGCTACTGCTCCAGACACAGAGATGGGAGGGGGCAGGAGCTCAGAAGCCACAACTTAACACCTTATAGGCCACCGGTTGGACAGTCCTGGCTTTTACTACTTTCAGTTCAGAATTATGGTACACAGTATCTGAAAATGGCAAGTTGGTAATACCACTGCAAGCAACTTACTTTCCTGGTGCTCTCCAAAGCAAGTTATGATACTTCTGCTGTTTTAAATCATTCACTCTATAATGACTGGTTACAGCTGGTCTCAAACTTTAAGGCCATGTGTTATACAGCAATGACATCAAGTGTTTTGATAAAAAGCATTAGGAAGAGGTTGTATGTTTAGCTGTCATTCAAATGAGAGAAAAAGCATATGACATCTGAGGACTCCAGAGCTCAATCTGAGTACAGCAATCACATTGGCACTGAATGTTTTGTTTGTTCTAACAGTTTGACAATAAAAAAATAGCTTTGGTTGTTAAATATTGCCTATACAGGATAGGCATGCTTAAATTTTTAAAATGGACAGTACTTAAAAGTAAGAGTGTTGTACACTGTTTTAGTGTACTGAACACAAATAATTGGTGAGATCCGATTGCTCTTCCTGCCACGCATGTTATCTGGCAATCCTTTATTACAACACTAGATGGAAAGCAACATAGGAGAATGACAGCATAAATTATACCACTTTCTAAAGAATAATTGATTTTATCAGTTAATGCTAAGGGGGGTGGTAGGAGAACTGGAAAAGCTACATCATTAGATGGGGAGAGGAAAATCATTGGGAAAAGATGCTTATAAAGAATGTGTAGTTGATGTTTGACATGCTTCCTACAGGGCAGGGGTGCTCAGCCTGTCATTCAGTCTATAGGGCTCCCCAAAGGTCTAAAAGTTCGGTAGTGGGAAAACAATGATACTGCTCTCCAGCCACCAAGCTTCCAGATCCATAGGGGTGCCCAGGCAAGGTCAAGGGCAGCACTGGCCCCCCAAGCCCCATCCTAGAACATACCAGGGCTGAGAGCATCACTGGGCCCCCCACAGACCAATCCTAGTGCACTGGAGTTGATCCACCCTGCAGACTGGCCCCAGCTGACTTATCTGGTCCACAGAGCCAAAAGGTTGAGCACCTCTGCTCTAGGGCTACTTCAAGAGTGCAACATTATTCAAATACTCACTGAGACCGAAAAATATTTCAATGTATGGGAATTAATTATTCTGATCCATTTATAACATTGCATCATAGTAGCTAGATGGATTTTTCACCTAAGGATATTCAGTGGTACACATTTTAACTGATCCTACGCCTTGAATATTAGAAGTTTGTTCCTTTCAACATAAAAAAAATTGAATGTTTGTTTAAATGTATTTTATTATTAGGGAGTTTAAGTATGGCAGACTTTCACATGGCAGTCTACAGTTACCTTGATTAAAGTTCCATCGTTGCAGTGCCATACAATTCCTTCTATTTCACCTTCCGTGCCATTGTCAAGCCAGGACAGTATATCATTGTGTTTCAGCACAGGTGGATTCTTTATTTCAAATGCCCCATGTGGTACAAGAAGATGTACAGGGTGCTTCTTACTTCCTAATCCTACGTAAAGAAACAGTTAACCTAGTCACGTATAGCAACCAAGGCGTGTGTGTGAGTGAATGATCTTCATATTGGAAAGAAAGAAGTCTATCATTTTCAGGTTCCACTGCAACCATTTGCCCTTAAGCAACATTCTAAAAGTTAAGCCCATGAAAGTGCAATAGTATACACACAGTGATACATCCAAAGATTCAGCTTTGTAAGAAATTAAATAACTGCCTCTGCAGCTTGCGTGGCAGAAGGTGCATCTATTAAATGAGTATGGTTAGCACACGCAGACACCCCCCATGCACATGATCCTGATAGCAAAGATTTAAAACCTAGAACCGTGCATCATAACGAAGTGACATGCCCTTACTACTAAGCTACAGGCAGAATGCAGAGTAGGGTAGCACCTTTGACTGCTTCAGAGTGGTATAAGCTTTTACAGGAGACGGTAGACCAGAGGCAGGCAAAATACAGTCTGTGGGCCGGATCTGGTCTGTCAAGTGCCTGGATCGAGCCCGCGGCTACCCCTGCAATGCTTCACATGGGGATGAGTCCCACACGCTCCCATCCAGGCAGCCAGTGCCTGCACTCCTCCCAGCCAGTGCGAAGCCTTCGGTGGGGCTATTTCGTGTGTGGCTACAGTCGGCTGGATGTTCCTTTGCTCCCCTCACTATCAGGAGCAGCTGAGCCAAAAC